CGAATACAATTACAACTACAATAATACTAGCTTTTGTAATTGCCTTAGTTTTTACCTTTGCTGCACATCTTTATTTTTTCACAATTTTGTGTTACTGTCTAGTAGCCTTTCATTTCCACCATAAAGACCTTTCATTTCTTGCAGGAGAGGTCTAGTGGTAATGATCTCCCTTGCTTTTGTTTATTTGTTAATGTTTTAATTTCTGACCTCATATATGAAAGAAATGTGCCTGAAATGAAATTCTCAGTTGGCAATTTTTTCTTTCAGCACTTTGAATATATCAACCCATTACCTTTTGGCCTCAAGGTTTCTGTTGAGAAATCGTCTAGTCACCTTTTATGTGTTGAGTTGCTTCCCAAGATTCTCTCATTGTCTTTGTCTTTCAACAACTTGATTATGTATCTTAGTGTGGATCCCTTTGAGTTTATTCTACTTTAAATTCATTAAGCTTCTGGGATTTTTAGATTTGTGTCTTTCATTGAATTTGGGACCTTTTAAGCCATTATTTCCTCAAATTATTTTTGCCCATTACTCTCAGGGACTCTCAGAGTGTGTTTGTTCTTCCACTTTATACTACCCTATAAGTCCTTTAGGCTTTGTTCACTTTTGTTTTTCTTTTTGTCCTTCTGTCTTGATAATTTCAATTATTCTTTCTTCAAGTTTGTTGATTCTTCTGCTAGCTCATATCTGATTTTGAATCTCTGAAGTGAATTTTTTATTTCAGTTATTGTAATTTTTAGCTGCAGAATTTCTTTTTGGTCATTCTTATGATATCCTTCTCTTTACTGATATTCTTATTTTGTTCCTACATCATTTTCTTCTCTTTATCAGGGTCTTCCTTTAACTATTTGAGCATCTTTAGGGCAATTGTTTTCTTTATCTAGTACTTCCAACAGCTAGGCTTCTTCAGGAATGGTTTCTCTCAGGGTGCCTGAGTGGCTCAGTTGGTTAAACATCTGATTGGGCTCAGGTCATGATCTCACGGTTCATAGGTTTGAGCTCTGTGTTGGGCTCCACACTGCTGGTGTGGAGACTGCTTAGGATTCTCTCTCTCTCTCTCTCTCTCTCTCAAAATAAGTAAATAAACTTTAAAAAAAGGAACGGTTTCTCTCAATATATTTTGGTCCTTTTGATAGGCCATAGGTTTACATACCTTTGTATGCCTTGTCACTTTTTTTGTTGTTGAGAACTGGACAAACGATTTTTGTAATCAATATAATAACTTTGGAAATCAGATTTTTTTTAGGCAATTTTTTTTTTAAATTTTAGAGAGAGAGCATACAGGCACGGTATTGGGCAGAGGGGGAGAGAGGGAGAGGAAGAGAGAGAGAGAGAGAGAGAGAGAATCTTAAACAGGCTCCATGTTCAGCATGGAGCACAATGCAGGGCTTGATTCCATGACCTTGGAACACGACCTGACCTGAAATCAAGAGTGGGACGCTCAACCAACTGAACCACCCAGTGCCCCTAAGCCTCTTTCCTTAGGGTTTGAGGCTTATTTATTTTCATTATTGAAAAGTGTCTCTTTGCTAGGAATCAGACTGAGGTGAATGCTTTAGATCTTCTATATCTAAAGCATTTTTTTTGAACCTGTATCTTTCCCTTGACATGGATATTGCTTTCTAAATTCCATTGTATGTCAGGTTGTTTTGAATGGCCTCATTCCTTAATGTCTGGCTCACAGGCAGAGAAAAGAGGGAAAAAGAAAAAAGAAAAAAAAAAAACAACAGTGCTGCTTCAACTAATGGGTGTTGAAATAATTATGACCAACTTTTGTTTCTACATATCAGTGGATGGAAGGCAGTAGTTAGCAATCAGAATGCAGAATCATAATATTTAGAGGATAAGATCCTTTTTGTCCATCTTGGCTCCACCAAATCACACAGTAATACAGGCAGGTTAGCTGCCATGAGGCTGGGTGATACAGGATCTGAAGCTCCTGCAATGCCAAAATTAACTACAATTGACCAAAATTAATTACAATTGATCAGCCAACATTTCTCCGCAAATTGCAAGTGCTCAGATAGACTGCAGAGTTCTAATACAGTTACTTCACAGTTTTTGCTAGTACAATTGCTGTTTAGGTGCTTCCTTGGTGCTTCCTACTTTACCTTGATGTCACCTCTAAACATATTTCAATACAATTAAAAATTTAATACTTTTATGAAGATTTTTAAAAATTAAATATTTAAATGGGTACTGCTTCCACACACAATTTTCCAAAGGAATTTAGTTATGAATTTAAGCACTGTCATAATTGTTTGGAACTTAAAAATACATGTAATTGTCTATTTTGACTAAAGCTAGAAAACAAAAAAATATCCCTGGTAGTTTAAGAACATTATTAAGTTATAACCTAGAATGCTATTAACTTAAAAATCAGATTTTGCTAGGAACATCATAGAGTGAACTGCAAAAATTTTTTACTGTATTACTAAAATTTTTAACTGTTTAAGAGAATCCTTATTTAGGAGTATTCTAGGAAGCTAAGCTGTCAGTTCCAGGCTAAACCAGGACCTGGTTCAAAACCATCAATTAAAAGTCCCAATTATATATAGTCCCAATTATGTCCCAATTATGAATTAAGTTCATATTTTTAAAATATCTTTTCCTTTACTATCATATTCGTTATAACTGGCATGTGTGCCTCAGACTTAAAAATAAACAAGAACAACAAAATAAGATTAGATTACATAGAAGCCTTAAATCCTAGACATAGAGCCAACAGATTGCTTCAGATTAGTGAATGATTTATTTTATCCTATTAGTAAAAATAAAAATACTACAATATGTGTTCCTGATAGTAATGCCAAGTTTAAAGCAAGATAATAATCAAATGTTTTTAGTGGCCCTCTCTAGCATTTAATACTTTTTCCTCAAAGTTCAGTTAAATTGATATTAACAATACTAATAGCTTTTCTTAACATTCATTAAGTAGATTTTTAAGGAGAACTTCATGGATTTTAAAATGGCTGCCCCTCAAAAAAAGATAAGATTATCCGACCTTCTGTGGAATCTGGGCAAGGGCTGATGCAATTAGATTAGACTTTTCTTCTGTGAGGTTTTTGATCATTGAACCCAGAGTAAATACCACAACTCCATCCTTTCCAGAGCTTTGGACAAACTCTTCTAACTCCTGTAAAGAAAACAGTCTTTGTAATAATGAAAATTTAGAGCTTACAAGAACAAGAAAGCCATATAACTTTAGCACTGTGTTTGAATTACTGAACAGTTCTGTCTTTCCATGTTAACCATTTTGGAGTATGAAATATGATCACTGGTTATCAGGCAAATAAAAAGAATTTACTTTGGAGGTTCCCTTCCAATGTGTTCTAAACACTTTTGAGGTATGTTTGTGTGTGCCTGTGTTTACAAATTATTGACTGTGTTATCTCCTGCCATGTGCTGAGGTCTTTGGATGCATTATTTAACTTAGATATATGGTGAACTTAAGAGATACGTATACATTTCCACATGGGAGAGCTGTTTCAGAGAGGTTAAGTAATTTGTCCAACACTACACAGCAGTAGCCGGCAGAACCAAATTTCTAAGTGAAGCTTGTTGACTGTACAGCCAGTGACCATACTTAGTACTCTCTACTGCCTCTAACATCCTCCCCATAATGCCCCAAATGTGGCATTTGATTACTGCTTTAAGTTAAATTCTTCTGGTACTTCACTTTATATTTAGCCTTGGATGCTAAGAAGATTATCATGAACCTTTATTTTCATTCACAGCCAGAATAATGATATGCTAATGACATACTTACTTTTTTTCTGTTTCTAAATTTAAATTTTCTTTTGGTTACATTTGTACTTTATATAAGCTTCCAGTACCACATTTAGAAATCAGGTAGCCATGCAACTTATCAGATAAGTAACACAGAAATACCTATAATATAATACCTGTAAGTGACAATAATATTATGGAAATATATGGCTTTGCAAAATAAAAATGGCATATTTAATCATGTTGAAGTCAAAAGCAATCTTTTTATCCCATTTTCAAGTACTAAATAAACTAAGCCAATCAAGTAAGACAAGAAAAAAAAAATGTATGATGATTGAAAGGGGAAGACAGGAAAGAGATTCATTTTAAGGAATTGGATCACATGATTATGGAGGCCGACAGGTCCAAAATCTGCAGGATAGGCTATCAGTCTGGAGACTCAGAGAAAAGCCAATACTGTCTTTCAGGTCTGAAGGCTGTCTGCTGTCAGAATTCTCTTTTGCTTCAGAATGGTCAGACTTTTGTTTCATTCAAGCCTTCAGAGGTTCACCAACATAATGGAGAGCAATTTGCTTTACTCAAAATCCACCTATTTAAATGTTAATTTTATCCAAAAATTACCTTGCAGAAACACCCAGAATAATATTTGACAAAATATTTAAGTATTTGGCCCAGGCAAGCTGACACATAAAATTAACTATCACACTGTGATGATAGATGGATTGACTTAATATGTAAACCCAACAGTCTCTTTAATTTTCAATTACAGCAAAATCTTCTTGAGAAATCGGCAAATATTTTATAATGTATGTAGAAGAATATCTTTAATAAATAATTAATGAACTTTGGAAAATAAAAGGAAATACTTGGGAGTACCTCAGATAATAATATGTAATATGTAACATGAAATATGTAAAATGATTGCTCTGATCTCCTACTAGATGATGTGAACAATAGAACAAAAGTAGTAAGACCAGAAAAAGAACTGAGTATATGAAAGCCTGCCATGGGATAAGAGTGATGTCAGAAGTTAGTGAGACAATCAATGAGAAAAAAAATCACACTGAGTAGATTATTAGGAGTGGTGTAATAATATATATATTATTGAGACAAAAAAGGGAAGTGAATATTTATCTCCTACATATATTTATATGATATTGTAATAATAATTTAAAATCTAAATAAGCCTGTTCAAGCCTTTAACTGACTAGATCACCCACATGATGGAGAGCAATTTGTTTTACTCAGAATCCACCTATTTGTTAATTCTTTAATATGCAAGCATTTTCACAAAATTTCATTCCCTGGATAATTCAGGTGTTTAGTTTTGGTATTAGAATATTGCAGGATTTTCAGTAATATCCCTAATTATAAAAAGCAGATTAAGGACACTAAATGTATGTTACCTACAAATAGAAGAGTCAATGTGAATGTACAAAGTAACCCATAATGAGGATGAAAAGTGAAGTAATCATGAGGTTTGAGGCTCTAACAGAAAGAAACATGACAAAATCTGATAAAACTTTATTCTTTCCACAAATAATAACCACATTTGTGTGCTGTTTTTGAGTTAGTGTTTGTACACTTTTGTAGTGTCCCTGGGGTCCTACTATGCTCTGGTGGGAAGAGATAGGGGAAATAAGATTGCATTGGAGAAACATATATTACTGGTGAAATAAATAATTATGTAAATACACACAAACATAGATTATGTAAACACATATGGTATGTTATGGTACCAGTAATAAGGCAATAGGAGGGTTCTGAATAGTACTGAATTATTAAGATATAGCAAATACGCCTATAAGTAAATCTTACACTATCCTGACAGTTTTTTCTTTGTCTTTAGAATTGAATCTATACAGTGCATGGATATTTTATCAAAAACTATGAAATAACTGAAAGAAGGCTCAGAATATTTAAGTGATTACTTATTTTTTAATGTTTGTTTATTTTGAGAGAGCAAGTGGGGAGGGATGGAGAGAAAGGAAGAAAGAAAATCCCAAGCAGATTCCATAAGGTCAGCACAGAGCCCAAAATGGACCTTGATCTCATAAAATGTGAGATCATGACCTGAGATAAAATCAATAGTTGGAGCTTAATAGGCTGAGCCACACAGATGCCCCTAAGTGATTACTTTCTGAGCAAAAGCAATAGTTTAGAATAATATAGAATGGATTTCCAATATTATTTAAGTTGTCAAAATATTAATTTATACAATAAAATAAAGTAAAACTTCCTGTTACACGGTTTAAAAATTCCCAAATATTCTGTCTCTTCGATGAGTATTCCATATACTTTCTGGTCTTACTGAAAATTGGATTTTGCCCTATAATCCTTTAAGTATACTCCATTCATTCTACCATACTTATATCAGTCAGGGTCCAGATAGACACTTGATCTGTGTTCTCCTCTCTTCTGACTGTATTTCCAACAGTTTCCTCTACTATGCCTTAAAAAAGTATCTTCATCTTTATGTTTTTAATCATAAAAACATATCAATATCAATAACCCATGATTCCTAATGCCAAATGTCAATCTTTTAGGAACAGCCCCCGTTCACAGAGGCATCTAGTTCATAGTCTTATGCTCCACCCCAACTTCTGTTTTTACTCTGGGTAACTTAATGTTCACGATAAGCACCCAATATGAAATCATGTTTTTTTTATCCCTTGACATCCCTAATTTAAGACCATTGCTTATTTAAAAGGCAAAACCATGGAGGCAGTAAAAAAGTGGTGATCCCAGGGATTTAGGGATAGGGATAGATGAATAAGTGGAGAATAGGAGATTTTTAGGGCAGTGAAACTGTTCCATATGATACTATAAGGGCCGATACATGACATTATACATGTATCAAAACCTATAATATATATAACATAAAGAGTTAACTTTAAGTTATGGAAATTGGTTGATATTGATTGTAACTGTGCCCCACTAGTGTGGGATATTTATGGTGGAAGAAGCTGTGTGTAGGAAAGAGGCAGGAAAGGGTGGGAATTCTCTATATTTGCTGCTAAATTTTGCTGTGAATGTAAATGGCTCTAAAAACAGTGCATTAAAATTAAAAGAAGAAAAACACAAATACTGCCTATCCCCTGAGATTAAGACACTGCATTCAACAGCTGCTTACTTAACATCGCATTGGTACCTCAAATTTAGCATGCCCAAATATGAACACATTATTTTCCCTCACAGCTGCTCCCCTTTAATTCTTCACTTTAGTAAATGCCACTATTCTCTGCTAATTGCCTGTAAGAAACCAACAAAGACATATACACAGAAACAACAAGCCAAGGATTCATTCTCGAACTCTCTCCCTTAATCCCCACCTCCAGCCAATCACCAAATCATAATGATTTTTTTTGTAAGTACTTCTTAAATCTCTCTACTTCTACTCAAAAATTACTATCATATTATAGTTTGAATCTCTATAGTTTCTTGCAGGAATTATTGCAACTGTATCTCAGCTCATTTCCCTGTGTTAAATCTTGCTTCATTCCAAACAATTCAATAGTCAATGTTTATCAAAAGGTAAGCTGTATCACATTGCTATTTAAGAATTATACACTGATCTTTCATTGATCTTAAATTTGAAGAATACTTAGTATTGCCCATTTGTTGTTTTTTTTGTTTTTTTATTTTTTTTTTTAATTTTTTTTTTCAACGTTTATTTATTTTTGGGACAGAGAGAGACAGAGCATGAACGGGGGAGGGGCAGAGAGAGAGGGAGACACAGAATCGGAAACAGGCTCCAGGCTGTGAGCCATCAGCCCAGAGCCTGACGCGGGGCTCGAACTCACGGACCGCGAGATCGTGACCTGGCTGAAGTCGGACGCTTAACCGACTGCGCCACCCAGGCGCCCCTGTTTTTTTGTTTTTTTAATAAACTATCTCCTGATAACCTTTTCAGTCTAACTTCTCGTCTTTGTTAAAACCAAACAGTTCATCATTGTTGAACTTTTGCCAGGTTTTTTGGATGGGCCATTATATCTCTATTTGAAATATTCTCAGAGTATTATAATTTCCCCACTATTATCCATTTCTAAGACTAGGTTATGCTAAATAACATGCAGCTACAAAATCTCAGTGGCCTAAGACAACAATTTATTTTTTTCTTATGTTGAATCCTTATCTATTGAGCTGCAGCTGGTTTATCCATTCTTTAATCGGGAACTCAGGTTGACATATTATCTAGAACACTACCTGTAGCTACTATCTGTAGCCCTTTGACATAACAAAGGAAAAGAGAACTCTGTAGTAACCAGATCTAACAATTAAATAGTGGGCCTAGAAGGGATACATACCACTTTAGCTCAGTCTCATTGTGCAGAGTACTCCATGGTTCCACTATACTCAGGGGCTAGGAATCTCATCCTTAGCAAATATGTGGCATAGCTGATGAACAACATCACTAGTGGTTGCCATGATAATGTTATAAGATACCTATGGTAGTATAATAGTCTAAGAAAATAATGTCCATTAATTGCTGTGTCTATGTTTTCAGTTTAGGGATTAAACATTATAAATAATAAACTAGAAATAATTCCAGGAGATAAAAAGTTAAACAATCAAAAATAAGCACACTTATTTACCTTCGGTAGGGGCTTTGCGGGCTTGCAGTGCAGTCCTCCAACAAATTCAATGTTAGGTAAATAAGGGTAAGGAAATTCAATATCCCAGTAAGTTCGAATCAACCACATTTCAGCTTTCCCCATAATCTCACATAATGTGGCAGGTTTTCCTGAATAAAAATGAAGGATAATGGAAAACAAACTGGTGTATTAAATAGGAAATGTTTGACCATCTAATTTTCTAAGAAAAATCTTTAAAGAACCAATATTGGGCCCATGCAAACCATACAAAATCAATTCACCTTTTCCCCCTGAAGGCACATAATAGTGAGATTTTGAATAACCAAGCAAGGATTTAAGTCTAGAACAAGACCAAAAGCCTGCTGCTTTCTCCTGCCAATGGAGTCTGTCTCTTCAGCTAAGCCTGAGCCCTACTTCATGCTCAGAACTGGCAAATACTCTCAGCAAAGGATAAGAAACAAGCAGTGATCCTTGGCTCATTGTAGTAGGGTCTCTGACTCTTCTGGAATTACAGTTTATCTCACTCTTGTTGCTCCAAAAGCCTTTTGATTTCTTTAAAAACTGACCTTTGAAATTCATCTGTCCTCTCGTGTTTTCAAGTGTGCTATAAACACCTAATCACACCCAGCCAGGAATAGAAATCTTTTAATACATTTTTGAAAAGTCTTATCTCCTTTGCTATGCAAAAATTAAAGTTCCTGTTTCACAAGAGTTTGTCCTCTTTGGTGGCAAAATATTAGTTATTCTGACATATTTAGTTGACTGACAGCAACAAAGGAGTACCTTTCAACCGATGTGGCAACCAATTGAACATTAACAGAATAAAAACTCAAATTAGTGGCTGAATTAAATGATTTTCCTTATTTAGGAGCCAGAGCTTTATTTCTGAGTTCTAGTCAATTACTATGGTATAAGGAAACTTACCCAGAGGTTTTGTGTCCTTTTGAAATATATATTCAGTATTGCTGATACGAGGAAATTGTAACTATATAGTTTTCCACCATAAGGCCTTTTAAATATTCTCCTTGATAATTCTAAATATGCTAAAATTTTGATCAGAAAATATGAGGGATTTTGAATTGACCAGGACAATCTATCTGTATAAGCAATCACAAACAAATCTCAGTAATTTATGGGTTTGATTCTGGTAATGGCAATGGTATTGAAAATCCAACTTCATACTCAGTACATACTCCATTTTAGTGACTTCCTGGTGTCAGCCACGGATGTAATCTTCTTCTCTTTGTGTAATGCTTCACTCGCCCCACCTTTTTTATAACAGTTTTGCAATTTATATGCCATACAATACTTCCTTCTAAAATACACAGTTCGGTAGTTTTTAGTATATTCATAAAGTTATGCAGCCATCACCATTATTTAATTTTAGAATATTTTCATTACCCCCTCTAAAAAACCCTGTATCCATTGGCAGTCATTCTGTTTCCCCTTCTTCACAGCCTCTGACAACCACTACTCTACTTTCAGTCTGCATTGGTCTGTTCCAGAATAATCTCACTCATTTCATATCAATAAATTACAAATGGTCTTTTGTGCTCCCATTTTTCACTTAGCATAATGTTTTCAAGGTTCATCCATGTTGTAGTCTGTACCAGTTCTTCATTACTTTTTATTGCTTAATAAGATTTCTTTATATGGATATGCTTCATTTTCTTTATCCATTTATCAGTTGATGATCATTTAGGTTGTTTTCATTTTGGGCTACTATGAATAATGCTGCTATGAGCATTCATGTATATGTTTGTGTGGGCATATGTTTTTATTTATTGTGGATACACAGCTAAGAGTAGAACTGCTGGGTCATAATGGTTGATTCACTTCTTCATGACAAGATAATATCTTTTTGCTGTTGAATCTCCATTCCTGAGAGATTAATTTAGGACACTTAATGCAATTTATTGAAATGAAGTCAATATAGTACAAGGGAAGTAAAAATAATTGATTTGGATAAAGAGATTTTTAGAAACCATTGTCTCAAATTTGGAAGTCAAAAGAAACCACAGCATGCCTTTTTGATGTCATACTGAGACACTGTTAAACAATAAATGATGGAAGAATTATTTAATTCTTTAGAAGAATGTGCCTATATTTTACTTTTTTATTACTGATTCCCTATTTACTTTTGAGTCCACATATAGTTAGGTTAAATGTTAGCTTGCATATTTCTGTCTGGTAGAAAATATCATCCCCCAAATTATGATTTTATTGCTCTATATGACATTAAGCAGTTTTGTGTCTAACTTTAGTAGTATTACCCTAACATTACTTTTACCCCCCAGTTGTTTACAAGTAGCTCCTCAAAATATATTTGAACCACACTTGCATTCTTAACTGGTTTCCTCCTCAATGATTGAAAATATATATA